GTTAAAATTTTTTAATAAATATATATAATAGAAACGCTCAGTTTGAATGAAATTTAAATTTATTAATTAACATTATATTGTGAAAATTTATTTTCCCAAAAATGAAGCTACGAATAAATGGACAAAATTATGTTTATGTCCAAAATGTATAATGGAACTCTGTGTTTTCTATTCTTACAAAGAATGTGCACTTTAAAAAAAAATGTTTTTCAATTATGTCATTTTCTATTATAAGATACGATGCGTAAAACAAAATTCTTCGAATCGAATGTTTAAATAAAAATATATTGCTTGATGTAATAATTAATTGCGGTAGATACGAGTCAATCTTTCAAAATAATATAAGTATATAAGTACATGCATCAAGTTTTCCACGATAAAATATTGGAATATGTTGAATTAATGTTTTATTCATAGGAAATACTATTTAATAATCATTTGAAACTTATATTCATTAATATTTTCTATAATTACATTGTTTACAATTACATACAATTAGATAGATATTGTGAGCAAATAAGTGAAATGCATGTGAAAAGAAAGAATTTGCAAAGAAGTAGAAAGTAATATTGTTTTACAATAACGTAAAATCTTATCTTTTTAATGTAGGAAAATACCAGATTATGAAATTTTATTCTTATTTCTTTATCACTGATTTTTTTTTTTTTTTTCTTACTATTTTAGAAATCAATCAAATTGAAAATAATTTAAAATTGTAAAACATCGTTCAAAGAATTTTTGAATTTTAAATTTTAATTTTTATCTAATTTCTTTTTACATATGTATCTAAAATTAATTTTTGATGTTGGAAAAATATCACAGAAATTTTCATCTTCAAATTTTTAGCATCTAAACAAGTGATTGACATTCATTACTTATTAATAAATTTCAAGCATCTTGTGTTATATTTCAATTTATCACAATCAAGAATAATATCTTAACGTATTTCAAATTTCAATTAATATTCTGAAACTACGAGTTACTAAGAATAGTCAATATATTTTAAGTTCCAATTAGTATTCTGAATAACTAAGAATATAACTTATTGCGTAATAACTTATTCTTTAAAAGTCACTAGAAAAAATTCTATCTAAATATGCACGCTTAAAAATTTCTTATAAGTACGTAAAAATAAGAAACGTTTATTAATTTCTTGCCTTTAATTGAAAATCTTTCGATCGAGAAATATTTCGTTCAAAACTGTATCATAAATCAATCGAAATGAAATTTTAAAGAGATGAAAATATATTTAGCACCATCGATATTTTCGATTAGATTTATTTATGTAAAATACAATAAAATTTACGATGAAAACTTGATATCTTTATTAAGTATAAACTGATGATGTTTTGGAAATGTTATTATAAGATATTTGAACATAAAGCATTAATGAACGATAATTATTGTTGTATACGAAAAATCATTATAATCTTCATGTTATTTAAATTTTAATTATTCAATGGTCAATGATTATATATAATAAAATATAAATTAACCGAATTAATTGAAAAATAAATCTTTTCGAATAATAAAGAAATTATTTTAGGAAAGAAAAAAACCAAATTTATAAATACATTAGAAAACAAATTAAACAAATTTCAAATATAGAATCAATTATATAAAAATATATTGAAATCTCAAGAGAAATGCATTATAAAAAATAAATTACTCATTTTTAGATACGCCCCCATATTTTATTTAGATATGCTAATGTATGTGTTGTGTATTCATTCAGATAATTGTCCTATTATATGTATATCAAAAGTTCAATGTTTCGTATTTTTATCTTGTCTCATATTCCGTATCTTCTTTACGAAAAACGTCATTTGTAATTTAAATTTTAAAATTTTAAAAATTTATCCGAGAAAATGACGTTTTACACGTAGCAGGGTAACACAATGTCGCAAATACGCTTTATACGAGCCACTCCTTTCTTCCTCAATTGTCCACTGTTCGATCATTGTTTCAACTATAGAACATGTTCATATATTCCAAACACGCAGGTACGTCATTCCGATTTCCATTTAATTTCTCACCATACACGACTTCCAGTTCTCCCAACTGCAAGCCATTGACACTCGATCGTGAAATTCAGTTTTTAGCTCCCTCTATCATCTGGTGATTTAATTTTTTCCCCTAACCAACTAGACAGTGCGAAGTAACATGTCGATCGTGTGCGAATTATCTATTGAAAATAAACAGAAAAGTTTAAGTGTCGTATCGGTTAATAACGAGTGTTATATGGATTAAAAGAAGCTGTTTTATCTTGTCATCGTTGGTGTGCAGAATATCTTTGCCAAGATTTCTCGTAAAGGTAATAAATCAAGTAATGATTCGGTAAATAAACTTTTATCTAATCTTATGTGGGTGTTAAATATTGGACAAATAATGTTACGATGACGTAATGAGATACGCGAGTTTTGTTCATTTCATATAGATTGTTCAAATAAATTATATAATGCATCTCATATTTTATCGTTCGTCTCATATATACACGTGTATAATTCACATTTTGCTTTCATAAAAATTTCACAAGTTTCGACAAATAATATTTGTTTTTTTTTTTTCTTTCTCAAAATGATTGATTAAATTATTTTCGATCGAATAATGTCGTTTTCAAATTAGTACAAAAATATTTCAAAAAATTCAATTTTATATTCGTATTACACGAAAATTTTGATTGTACGAAATTGTTAAACTATATTTTTACTCGTAATCATCAGATAAATGAAGAGCAGCATTCTCTAATATAATGAAGAAATTAGTAGAATATATTAAAGATACATAAGAAGATAAGAAATAGTTTTCCTACCGTTTAACTCGCAATTCAATTTTCCTCGGTGTTGTTTGATGTTTGGACACAGATGTTGATGGAATCAATTAAACGAGACTGGAATATATAATTACTTATTGTTATACGAGATTGTACATTTCAAATACCCTCTATTGAATCTGTGGTATAATTCAACACGGACGGCCGTTATTTACAAGGATATCGTGCAAGAAACACCACCCATGATTTTCATTGTTGAAATCACATTCCTAGAAGCCGTTCGAGCCGCCATTCATTCAGAAGAATGGGGGGACATTACGTAACGTGGAATAAATCTAGAAATGAAATAATTTAGTCGGTAATATTCGAGATGGAATTTTGGAACATTGATTTTTTTCTTCCTCGCGTTTCAATCGAATTTATTTACTCGACCTCGTTGTTCAATTAATTAATTTCGATTAATTTTTAATAGTGCCTAACATTAATTATTAAATTAATAAAAATTGAGAAATTTAATTTTGTTTGATAAATTATTCGAATATATTAAATACAAAGTTTTATTCAACGTATAAAATAAATTTAATAATTAAAATGTAAAATGAACTTTGCCATGATAAATTCAAAGCTTGCGAAGTTACAATGGATACGTTTCGTTAATTTTATTCGCAGCACGTGACACAGATATTGACGGAGCTTGAAACAGATTTGTAACTGGGGAAATGCCAGATTTGTTCAGAAAAGTTAGAAATGGGAAATAGAATGGTAAGATAGGTCATGGTTCGTACCTTCGATTTTCATCCAACTAATTATGGAATAAAATAGAGCTATGAAGGTAATTCAATATTTAGAGGAGAAACTGGAAACAATTTACAGTTGTGCAGATATTTGTACAGATTGTTTTATCTATTCTAGATCAACAAAAAAAAAAAGTTAAAAAAAAATCTGAAAATGATGTCAATTTTAAATTGTTCTTGTAATTTGCCTTAAATAGTGAAACGTGGCACGCAAATGTACTTTATGTGGATTTATATGAACGAAATTTTAATACATTCAGGTTGATTATCTGAATTCCAATTGAGTTTCTGTCATACGAACATCTTTTATTTTAATACACAGTTAAACAAATAAAAATTTACCATCGATAACTTCTTAAATTTGTATAATTTATTCAAAGGTAATCAACTTATTTATTATATTATTTCTTTATTATTTAACAAATATGATGTTACTTACTCTTTTGGTTCTTTTCCACAAGACACATACAATAAATCAATAATCTAAATGGGGTATAATGTATATATAACTTCTTGATATTATCTGATTCGAATAATAAATTTTTAATAAGAAAATGTGTATGTAAAATAAAACTCAATGTTCTTTTATTACATTGATCATTATATCTCATCATTCTCTACAGGTACACGTGGAAGAATCATTGTGCAGAGAAAAATATAGTCTCTAAAAATAAGATCAAAAATAAAACTATTAATCACAGTATAATTTGTATAATTTTAATTACGCATAATCATCGTTCATTTACATATTCATTACAATATTATTAACAATTGAGAAACTTGTCCTTAAGTATAGATCGGATTGATAATTAGCAGGAACATCATAGTGTTGAAATTATATTCGTTGCTTAATTAAGTTGATTTCTTCCAGATGCAACGCGTATACATATTCATTTCGAAATCCTTCTATTTCTCTCCAACTGAAACTATCTGTTCAAAAGATAAAAAAGGAGAAAAGAAAATAAAAGCTAGCGATTTATCTATTAACCATTTTATATCTTTATTTTTCGAAAAAAAAGTTGATATCTTTCAGATGCAACGCGTGCACATATTCCTTTCCTTATTTCTTTTCGTCTCTTCTCTCTAACACATATCACACACGGTATAAAATCGTTGTTCTTATTCTTTGTTTCTTTCAAATAGTTATTTTTGGTATATTTTCGAAAAATATTATAAATAATTTTTGCAATTATTAATAAAAAATTCCTCTTTTTAAAAAGACACAGATTGATTTAAAAAAAAGTATACCATCTTTCTGTTTTAATAACGGTCATCATGTATATATAATAGGAAGATAGAAGGAAGTCGCAGGTAACAATGAACGTTTCCTGTCAAATTATGTTACGAATTAATTAAAAATTTCGAAATCGAATCGATCACTGATCCACGATGCAACTTCCACTTAAAGCGTTAAACAGTTATTATACATATACATATATATATGTGTGTGTAGACTTTAAAACATCTTGTGGAAGGTTGAATACGTCTACAAGGCACCATTAAGCCGAGTTACTAAGTTCACAAGTGACGTTAACGAAGCCGATATCCTGCTTTATTAACGATGGTCACGAGTGCTGTGCATCGAAACAGTTCAGCTCATTTTTTGAATTTTGCGGTCAGGGTTGGGTTAAAGAGAATGCGGAAGTCTGACTGGATATATACTTCACCAATATATTTATCGTAACCACGCTCGGCTCGGCTGTAAATAAGGGAAGTTACAGGTCTTGCGCAATATAAACGCCTTTACCGTACACACCATTGACCCATTATTAATCGTTAACCGTTTTGGAAAAGAGTTATATGCTCGGAATTTCCTTCGAGCAAAAGTTCATTCGTTCGAAGACTTACGGTTTCTGTGACAATCTTCTTTTCCTCTTAAATTTAAACACGCGTAAATTTTTCAACTTTCGACAATCAATTTGCAAATTGTCTTTACGATGAACGTTTGATATGTATGGAGACAATAGAAATTTGTATATATTCGATGAGTAATTATATGAGGAAGAAGATGAGTGATCTTGAAATCAAATATATTTAAACTTAACTTACGTACAAAATATTACGTATAAATTTTGAATAACTTCTTTTCCAAATATATTATTATTCAACTAATATTTATTCGTGACGAAGTAAAAATTGCAAGAATTTATTTTAACAACGCTTAAAAAAAATATTCGATGCGAAGTACATCTCGTGAATATTACGTATACCCAATTGAATTAGCTATGTTAGATCTATATTAAAAAATTTAGCGAAGAATCATTTTTATAACAATAATAATTTGCAACTACTTTACTAAACGCGGCAAGTATTTAGGAACGGAAATCTATTCGAATACACTTGCGTATTCGAGGAAGGCCGATCACCGTTTGTCGGTCAGCTGTTTCGGTATACCCAACTCTCTAGAGGCGGTTTCGACGAAAGAAAAGATGGACAAAACGTCCTGGGATGGTTCCGTTAGCTCGACCAGCCGACTCGAGATGCCCTCGTGGTCGAGGTGAGAAAGGAAGGAGACCGAACGGATGTAGCGGCTCCCCTGCAAGAATATCGTTGCCTCGTAATTCCTCCCAAATATGGCCGATAATTTCGAACATTTGGATTCTTTTCCAAATCCAAATATCGAAATTTCAATATAATCGGCGCGTTCGATGTAACGCCAACTTTAACTTAAAACTCGTGATTGGTTAATTTTTGTAACGTGTATATATATACTTTAGCACGTTCCATGAGAATCTGCCTTAATAAATACCTTGGGTAGGAATTAGAAAAGTAGAATTAATCGAGAAGGAACGAGAAATTGTTTAGAGAATATTTGCACTTTTTAAATTCTAGTCATTTATGGAAAATTTCTATAATTTTATAAACATTCTATAATTATGACAAAACATTTATTAATTTAAATAAATGATTTATCTTTATTCTGCTTTAATTGTAAGTATTAATATCGATAATGTAGATATTTTATTTCCAATTACTAATAGTAAGATAATACTTTTAATATAAACTGATTTAAACTCTAATAATACTATCCTCGATTAGGAAAGCTTTGGTAAATAAGTGTAGAAGTGAAATTCGAGAAGAAGAAAATAAGGAAGAAAGATTGTGAAATTAAAGAAAAGAGGAAACTGCATCAAATAAGATGCATGTTATTTTCTGTTATATTAATTCCAACTCTAATTTATTCAATTCTTTTTACGCTTTTAGTTTCGTATTGCACGAAATCTCACGTAACACAGAATATGCCTGTTATGCATCACTATATTTTCCCCACTTTCTATCGTGCTCTCGTTCACCATGACATAACTTTGTCCGATAATTCGACACCTTATTCGGAGAAAATATGTTACCGCGTAACTTGATCAGACTCGACTAGTTCTGTTCCATTCACTTCGAAAATTCTTTGTTTAAATATTCATTTCAAGCTATCGTTCGTGAATCAGATTAATTAGAAATGCAACAAGTTAAATTGCGAGCCAAAAAATTATTTAATAATAACTCGTAATTAATCGAATGCTAATTGAACTGTTTTATTGCTATATTATATTTAAAATAATATCAAATGTGAAAAAGTGTGAACAAGTTTCGTCTCGTTTGTAATCATTGAACATATATCTCAAATAAAATAAACGTTTTCCAATGATAAAAGCTACGCTTTGAGTTTCATCAACAATCAAAAGAAGATGGATTTGAGATGGATTCATAGGTTTTCACTTATCACGTATACACATATGATATAAGTAGTTCACAAAAGTATTATGAACATGATTAACATTATTGTGTGAAGAAATTCATCAACCCCCAAAAGTCTTTGCTTTAATAAAAGTTGGTGTGCAATAAATTATATTCAGTAATGTCTTTTTGGAAAGTTTCTTTGAAGGGGTATATAAATGTAGCCTCAAAGTTCCACAATTCTTTCCTGTTTTCTTCCTTGGGAATATTTTTTTTGTATAATTAAACTTTTGTTCCATCTCGTAAGAAAGTTATATATGAAGAAAAAGGGATTGAAACATTTCCATTTTATTTTCTCAGAAAAAACGTACGATCTCAATACTTGTGTTCAATCATTTATTTTATTCTTATTTTTGTTAATACATTCGAATATTTTCGTGAATCATATATGCATATTCAACGGTAACAACAATATTTGCAAAAGTAAAAGCAAAGATACATCGTCTCTTTTATGGATATGATATTTTATGTAAAAGATATTGTTCTTATCTTGAACAAAAAGAATGTCATCTGTTCGAGGAAACAAATCGTGCTCGTGTTCAGAATTCTTATCTGATCTTTGGGAATTTTTACAAAAATAATTTATTGGTTCGCCAAATAAGTAATAAACTATTGTTTTTTTTATTCAATATCTTTCATCGTATGATACATAGTACCACAAATCCTCGTCCTCTTCGTATTTTATTTCGATTCTTAAATCGAATTTTAAGCAATTTAGTTTTATTATACGTGTAAAACATTCTTCTTCCTATGAACATGGTGTTCCATTTGAATCTTTATACACAATCAACGAATGTTTATTTATTGTAAAAATACGATGCCTCGTCCCACGAATGATAGTTGCGAATATAACCAAACCACTTAACGATCAGTCATCGATCAGATACTGCAGTTATCGAATGGTCAACAACCTTTACTTCGTTTTCAAGATATCTTACGATATAATCTTCTCCAAACGCATCCGATATTTTCAAAAATGATCATATTCTTTTTTCGTTTTTCGAGATAAATTTCTCGATCCATATAAAATTTATTCTTCATCGAATAAAAATGTTCGTGAAAATTCGAAACTACCGCTCTATTCGTCACTATTTCTCTTCCCCCGGCATTCCACTCCTTCCCACTCCATTTATCTTACATCTTTCTCTTCCCCCGCACCCACGCGTTTCTTCCTCAAAATGCCACGACTCGATGATAGCATAAAAGGGGAACAATCGACGAGGATCTGTACTTGTATGGCGCTGTGCGCATCGCAGGAATGGATTGACCGACGAGTGTAAAACGAGGTGGCCCCGAGGTTGATGTCCGAATCAAGCGCCAACATTCCAATTTCTCGTTTCCTTTCTTCGCGCAGGGGGGAGAAATTTCAACGGTTCAAGCTGGAGGATCAGTTTCGCGTCGATGATTTATCGTCGATTCTCGAGTTAATTACTTTGGCTCAGAAGATTATTCATCAGAAATTTTGAACAATTGATTTTTCCAATTTTCTCGTGCAATAAGCTCGATGGCCTGGAAGAAGTTCTAGAAGAACGCTTTAGGTACACGACACGTTGGAAGGGTGCCTCACTTTCAGTTAAGAGCTGTTGCTCGAGGGACGAGCCACGATTGCTCTTCTCGCGGCTCTTCCGTGCCAAGTGATAAATAGGTCGATTTTTACTTAGGTTGGTGTGAAAGAAGTTGAGGGTTTTTTTTTTTTGTTTCGATTAAGAAAAATTCACTCATTGTTTGATTGAGAATAAAATAATTATTAATTTGAAACAATAATGATTTTCGCAAGTAAATTTTCAAGTGTTTATTGGACAGATAAATGCGTCGAACGTTTGATTACATTACCATGATTTTTATACTTGTAACAAAAGATATATTTGCATAAACATGGTGTGGCATTTATTTTCATTTATTCAATTAAACAAGCGATAGCTAGCACGTAAGCATAAATAATTTAAAATGAAAATTATTTTTATCGAAAAATAATATTTTAATGTTTTCCTTTTTCAAAGGAAGGCTAAAAGTTTTTTTAAAACTATGCCTGCTGATATATTGGCCTCCATAATGGGAGGAATAACGCGGCCCTCGGAGACTGTACAAGAAAGACAGTTAAGATGTGGCAAGAGCTTTGAGTCAGAAATAAGCGAAGGGCCTTCCTTTTGATATTTCAAAAGTCGTGATCCTTCGTGTACACTTCCGATATAATATGATGCAGTAATACGTTATATGAACCTTATTTTATCGTTCAATGTAGCGAAATTAATGGGTTAAGTATCTTATTTATTTATAAGAAATATTCTTTTTATTATTCGATTTTCGTGTAGATCAATAAACAAATGTTCTAATGCTTTAAGCAAGGATACGTAATTTTTCAATTTTATTATATAACTTTTATATCAAATTCAATATCAGTCTTATCGTTGCACGTCCATCTCTAATATTTTCAAAAAGAACAAGTTTAATAAGTAAAAATTAATTTTTACGACGATGCATAAAATACTGCTAGAAATAGATATATGATTTTTATAAAAGGAAAAATACAAAAGTGAGCTAATCGATTAATGGTGTTATACACATTTCATTTCTATACATTCGTATGCAATTATTCTCATGAAAAGATATTTTATTATAACTGTACATAATTATGCCTATCTAATTCATTATTCATTAAAAACGAGCCTTCGAATTATTTGGAGCCATATTTTATCGAATATAATATTTCACGTATCGTCGAAAAATATCCATACGCATGATCAAACTTGTCGTTCGATTTTTAATATCAGAAATTTTGAACACCTTTGCAATGATTCTGCCCCGGTGCATACGTGGCTACTTACAAAATGGCGAAATGGGGCCATCATGGCACAATAATAGCGGTGCAACGGCGGATTCGCGTCGTCTTGCTCGTCTATTAATAAATTAAGAAGAGGACCATCTATTTTGGAAACGATAAGTTCGCTCGAACTGACGTTCCCACCGATCGACATTGTTGCATTCTTCCACGATGAGCGCTGAAAAATCAGCCATCATCGTGGAAGACACGAGATCTCGTGGAAGCGCGAATCTTCTCAAAGTGGGGGGGGGGGAGGGGGGGGAGGAAGAATGGATTATCTTTGTTATCATTTGTAGCCATTTCTAGTGAAAATGTTTCTATTCATACAGGAAACAGAGGAATGGAGAATATTTTTATTCGCTAGTTGAATTAAATTACATGTATAAAACAATGAATGCAAAAACTATGAATCATATATTTTTTAATAAATTTTTAATAAGTTATTTAAGTAATAACAAATTATTGGATTGGAATTAATATTTTGGATTTGAATAATAAATAAATAATTGTTTTCTATTGTTTCTTAATTAAATTATAATTCAACTGATATTTTTGTTCTAATCTTTAGAATTGATTTTCCCAGATGTTTAATATATTAGATACTTTTATGTGATCAGTTATATTTAAATTCTTCAAATTTGAAAAAATTCTTTAAAAATTTAAAATATATAAAATAATTGCATCACATTTGTTTGTCGATGATTCATTCGGAAACGTGATAATTAAAAATATTATAACGTAAATTATTTAATTATATACACTCGAGAATGGATATAAGAACAGATATAATTATAATAATTGATATGTTTTCAATATTATTTAGTTTCATTTCTATTTTATAATTTATTAAAAAAAATTTATTAAAAACATTATATGTTTTAATTTCGTTAATATCATCATTAATTTGTTCCAACTTTTTATTTATCTTTTATAATTTCTTTTTTCTTTTCCTTTTTCTTCCCGCCTTTGTTGGCCTCTTAAAGTCGAGTCAACTTTTAATAATATTTCACATATTTTTCTTTATCACGTATTCTTTCGATAAAAAAAAAAAAATCTCGCAAATAAAAAGCTTCTAACACGGATCTTATCGTTATTTTTATAAAGAAAAATTTATAAATTATAAAATTACACATCCACGGATGTAAATATTGGAATTGATCAATGGAATGAATTAATGAAAAAGTTTTTGGTAAAAACAATAATAGGAAGAAATATAAATAATCAATTTCATTTTTTTAAAGATTTTGAAGTTTTTTTGAATTTTAAATCAAATTTAATTAAAAATGAATTTATTAATATAATGAATATATAGAAAATAATTAAGTGAAGGAAATAGATAAAAAATCATTTAATAAGTATTATTTGAGGAATAAAATTCATTAGAAGTAATTTATTAATTACTATATTTGATTTAAAAGATCAACTCTTAAACTTCAGACATCTAATGAATTTTAAAAATTAATTTTAGTTGTGTAATATTTCCCTTTAATTTTAATTATCTTGATTGTTGATTTGTGCACGAGATCAATTAATGCCAATTGTAATAAAGGGACAATTTGCTTTTATAATATATCGCGTAATTGAATAAGAAAAACCTGCTTCAATGCCATCCATACGAAAGGAAATTAAGGTGGAAGAGTGAAGACAGACATTGCATATGCAGGTCAGCTTTTAACGTAAACGGGTTTATATTTCGTTCCTCGGTCGCCGGTATAACACATGTTAACTGGCTAACGGGATACACGCCCGAACAAACCGTGACAAAAAATTTGTATCTTTCTAAAATATATAATGACTTTAAGTATACACGTTAAGTATTCACAAGTGTGAAAAATAGTAAATTTTACGAAATAATTTTTATTTAAAAATTATATAATAGAGATTGTAATAAGAGTTATGTAATAAAAAATCATTGATTTTATAAGTGAAATTAAATAATTAATACAAACGATTAGGAAGAATGTTTATCCCGATCGTATCAATAATTGGGCGACGTAAGTAAAATATAATTTTCTTATGCAAATCTAACTTTTGTTCAAAAAAAAAAAATATACATATATATATCTTTTTAATATAATAGATTTTTCATTTAATTTTTATGCAACAGTGATTTAGTAGTTAAATTCATAATTTTCAATCAACTCAACGTTATTATCGAGACAGTATGAAATAACACGGTATTATGAAAACACGTGCGAGGTGAGTATGAATAAAGTAATGAAATATTTTATACGTGAAAAAAATTTTAATTTTTTACTTCTTTTTTCATTATCGGAAAGAGGAAGCAAGAAAATTAATCCGAGAACTCGAGAATGACTCATTTCGATAAACAATATATTATTTTCATAACTTAATAGAAGTCGTTAGCTTATCTTCTGTCTCGATACGTGTGTGTTAGATATAAATATGAATGATGATTCATAAGGAAAAACGATAAATTTAATAACGCAAATTTAGCAGTACATTTATTTACTGGTTAAAACAGTTATCATTGCCAGTCTCTACTCGCCTCAAATAGTTCATACGTCTCCCATAAATTTTTAAATAACTTCAACTTGCGTTGAAGAGGAGAAAGTAGAAATATGAGATTTACTAAGATTTAGTAACGAGATCATTAACAATGATTAAAAGTTGAATAAAATGATGATTATAACGACCTCTCACAGCTGTTCACTTGCTTGCATATCTCTCTTTCTACAAACTTTTTACCAGTCGAATTTATTCTAATTCGTTTTATGATTTTCATAAAATTTCAAAGAACTTCAATCTTTATTCTATCTTGTAATTATCTTATTCTCGGAATATCGAGAAATATTATTTTAAGAATAATTATAATTTAATCAGTGGTAAAAAAGAAAAGTTTGAATTAATATAGAGGCATTTGAAAATTGTTAATAAATGATAAAATGGATTTTAATTATTTGTTTATTCGTGTGGCAAAAGTAAGAATTTGGAACCATAAATGCAATTTTAATCAGATTTTCATTATTGTGATGCTGTGCAGAATGGACTTTACGTATGTGATTATTAAAAAATAAATTGTTTAAATATATTATTATTATATTGCATTAATAAAACTTGCATTATTCGAATTTTTATTATTTTCACGTTTTGTTTTAATCTAGGAAATTTAGAGAAATCGTAAAAAATAAGTTTTTTAAGATTTTACAAGAATATTTATATCTATAAATTTCTTAAAGTTATTCGTTCGATGTTATTTTTTTATTTTTATAATTATCTTTTTGAAAATCATAATCACGTGTTCTCTAAAAATGCGTAATTGTGCAACAATCACATTAAAAAAAGAAAAAAAGGAACCGTCAGGAAGATTCTTTCTTGAAACATTTTATAAAACACGATGGCTACAAGAATTTTCTCGGTGATCCCACATTTTCTTGTCCAGTGCTCAAGATGTTAGATAACGGTTATATACACGTTAAGTAGTTTTAGCCAAGTTTAACTCTGGATTACCCACGATACGACTGCGATTGAGAAAATTAAAATTTTTTTTTAACTAGATGCAGATGTTTGTCCAATTTTAAATTTTTATTTGAACAAAAATGAAATTGAAATAAAGATTTTTATCTTGTTAAATATCGTAATATCTTGCTTGCGAGTATTTTACCTTCTTTTCGCGTATCATGTGCATCTATAAATTTATAAAAGGGGGAAAAAAAAAATTTAATCGTCGTTTAATCGTCTTCGACGAGTAACTTTGATGCGCATATTTCATATCAATGTAAAATGTAAATACCATTCCATGATATTTAATTCAAAATGAAATTTTAATATAATAATTTTGATACTCTTACTCTTGATGATGATAAAAATAATCTTATTTGCTTAAATATAATAAAAATATATCAACTTGTCAATAAAGCTTGCGAATTCGTGAACCAAAAAATTCTTTTCAATTTATCAAACAAGCATGTTTGTTGTAATTCTTAAATTAACATTATAATTGATAACATTGGAACAAGAGAAAAATATTTCTTAAAATTACGAAATAATTAAATATCATTTAATAAATTATTTCCAATGTAATTAAAATAGGAATTGATCTCATGTAATTCATAATAGAATAAACAAATAACCGAAGATAGAAACGTTTGTCCCAGATAATATCCGTAGGTTAATCGCACGTTGATATCCAATTTTTATTTAATTAAGTTTAACGTCATCCAATTGAATCGAATCGAATCGTCCTTGACAATTCTAAACTAGATCGAAAAATTATATATTCTTCTCTCTCTCTCTCTCTTTATCTCTCGGTATGTACATATTTACCATTGTACTTTTATCAAAATTTCTTTCAAAAATTATTTAAATTCGATAAGAGAGATAAAATTTTTCAAGAGAAGAATGTTCGAATGTCGAGACAAGATTCTTTTCGAATAATTAAATTAATATATCATAAATATATATTAAACTTTTTATAAATTACATACGCAATAGTCATTCAATATTATAAGTGTTAATAAATGTATTATAATTAAAATAGTGTAAATGTAAATTTTGAAAATTAAAGAAAAGGAACACAGTAATTAATACTACTGTAAATTTATAATCATATAATCTTTCTTCAAGATGCGAAATAATATGATTTATCTATTTTAAAAAGTA